GGTGATATGGCCCCCAAACATCGATATGCACAATATCAAAAGAATTATTACTTCTTTTATTACTCAAGGAATAAGATGTTCTACAATGTTTGGCAAGCTCACAACTCTCACATCTCAAATTTGACATCTCAACAGACTCAAATAAAGTAGGAAACAGACTCTTCAAAGACCGAAAAGATAAATGACTTAATCAATTATGCCAAAGCATAATCGGACTCACACACTGAGAAACAAAAGACTTCTTATCCACTGGCTCTTTCCATTGAGGACTCTCTCGAAGCAGGTAGATCCCATTCGTCTCACGGCCAGTCCCAATCACCTTCCTCGTCTCCAAGTCCTGAAAAACACATCGGTCAGGGAAAAAGGTTACTGAACAATTTCGATGTTTGGTAATACTACTGACTCAAAACAGATTAGTATCAAGTTTAGGAACATGCAAGACAGAGGAAAAAGAGATAGTATCAGATAAATTGATGTCACCCTTGCCAGAAATGGGAACAAGAGAGCCATCAACAATGGATACTTTATCTCTACCAGAAGACAAGTGATAAGTAGTGAACAATGATGGCAAGCTAGTCATATGGTCAGATGCACCTAAGTCTATTACCTAACAGTGTTCAGTATTACTTGGAGCTGAAGCATGGTAGGCTGAGGCCCGGGTACCTGAATGAGCAAATGCAGATGTGGTAGAGGCTGATGGTGACTGAGAAGACTGGGCCGAATTCCCAACCTCCTTTTCCAACTGTATCAGGGCAGCCCAAACAACATCTAAGGTATCTAGGGGTGTGCCTTTTGTGCCTGACGAGGATGCAGAATCAGTATTCACGGCCATATGAGCATTACCCCTTTTATTCCTCAGTTTTGCTGGGACTAAATGAGGGTGGAGCTTCCAACATGTATCTTTCGTATGCTTGGGTTTCTTGCAATTTTCACATACCAGATCTCGTTTGTCTTCCTTCTTCATGTCTCTTTCTATATCACCCCCAGACTTAGGTTTAACTGCTGCTAGGGCTGGGGGAAAGGGCTGATGTTGCATCATAACCTTCCTCTTGGTCTCTTCACTATGCACTAGGAGTATGCTTGAGAAAGGGTCACACTGTCTCTTGTCAGTTATCTGCAGTCTCACAATGTCATAATTTGAATTCAGGCCAGTCAGAAATTCAAACACCCTATTGGTCTCGACTTGCTTTTTATGGGTCTGTGCATCTTTTGGACTTTCCCACTCAAGAGTCTCCAGATGGTCAATTTCATGCCATAGTGATTTCAGTGTAGAGAAATACACAGAGACTGGTTTCTCTCCTTGTTTAAGGTTATTCACTTCACACTTTAGTTCATAGGCCCTAGCAACATTAAGGGGTAGGGAGTAGGTGTCTTTAATGACATCCCATATCTCCTTGGCTGTCTTTGCCCACAAGTAATTTCGGCTGATATGTGGCTGCATCGAGTTGCACAGCCATTTCATAACCAAGTAATTCTCCTGAACCCACTTGGCATACATTGGGTCCTCCTTGGAAGGCTCTTTCACATCTCCCAATAGATAGCAAGTTTTCCCCTTCCCCCAATAGCCATCATGGCTGATTGGGCCCATTCCAAGTAATTGATCCATCAAATCTCACAGTTGTAATCTGAAATGCAGTCTCAGACATACTACCAGAACTGTTGTTCCCAAACACACCTTCTCCCCGATTTTTGAACTCCATTCTTGGTCAAGAATCAGTAGTTAAGAACTATTAGGGTTTCGACACTAGAAAACAGCACTGAAGCAATCAATCACAATCAGAAAACTGTATGAAATCAGTTCAGATCTGATCTGAAACCAATCGGCAATCAGAATATATGCAGTCTGATAACAGTTCTCACTCTCAAAACAGGCTCGGAAGCCAAAACCAGGTCTGAAACTCACTTAGAAAGCACTCTGTAGAGCTGAAGCAGAATTAGGGTTTCAATCGTAGGGTTAGGA